CTCCATAAAGTGATTGGTGTCAGAGAATATTTAAGAAGCTGGTATTGTATACAATTCTTATTGATAATGTTGTTGCAGTATTTTTTTTATTTTTTTTTTTTGTGCATCTGGGTTGCATTTTGCATTTTAGAACATTTCCAAGTTCGAGCTAGTCTAAAAACCAACATTGCGGCGGAACTGTAACTACGTAGTACTACCTGGAGTTTTTTTTATTGCTTATCACCTCGTTTTCTTCCCCCCTGCGCAGGTGTTTGGCACTTTAAAGAGGAAAAAAAAAAATCAGCCCAACATGTTTCAAGAGGCCATCATACAAATAATTCCTCATCAACCATCTTTGAGCAACGGCTTCTACTTTAAAATCCAGATGAACTGGTTTTCTGTTCTCATCATGCTCTGGTCATGATGACAGAATTATGTTATCAGATCTTTCAAAATCACTGGATAGAGAAAATAAAGTCATGTACATTATACCTTGAAGCAAAACATGATTGTATCATCTTCAGAGGTAGATTTTTAGAAGTACTTTACTTCACAATACTTTTACTTGAGTAATGTTATCGTGAGGTATTGCTACTCTTACCAGAGTCAAATGTCATGGGGGGAAAGTGTTTCTTTTTCCTTAAATTGTTAGTTTGTGATGACGTTGTTTGTTTTACGTTTGTTTCTCATTTTTAGTCTTTAAAGTAACATAAATTGCACAAAACAATTTATTGTCTGAATAATTGCAACATTTTAAAAATATTCAATCAGATGTTATGATTAAGTATTAATCAGTTACTCTGTACTTGAGTAGCCTTTCTAGAGAATGCTGCTTTACGCTCAGTTGAGTAATTTCTTAGGTGGCTACATTTTACTTTTGCTTGAGTAAAAATATGCTGAAGTAGGATGACTCTTACTTGAATGCAAAGTCTGTGTACTGTTTATGGAAAATGAATGGGCAGGAAACTACTTTGCACTTCAAGAAGTTTGCAAGATTACACATAAAGTTATATTCTAACTATGCAATTCCCAGTGCAGGATGTTCTCAATTTGGACCACCCTGTTCCTGCATATTTTCTTGAAAAAAAAAAAAAAGAAAAGGAAAAAGAAATTCCCTGCATGAGTCCCATCAAGGTAAACATGAGAAAACCAGTTACTGAATAACTGATCACTGCTGTGAGGGTTTATACAAAACAGTTTCACTCTCTTTCACAATGTGTGTGTGTGTGTGCGTGCGTGCGTGCGTGTGTGTGTGTGTGTGTGTGTGTCTGAGGTCTCTCACCACTGTTCCACACATCTAATTGGTTTATTCTCCTGCCAGATCAGATGTATACTTGGTAATATATGCAGTCTGAGTGATGGCTTTCAGAGCTGATTTCACACGAACAATAATAATGAAAAAATGTAAACGCCCCATTTTACAGTAATTGGTCTCCATCGTATTGTCTATATTTAGTGTTTTGTGATGGAAATTTTTCAATTTTGGGTGTGGGGGGGCAGGGGGGTTAGCCCAAAAAAGAAAAAAGTTGGGCATGAGAGTTTGCCACAAAGACTTCCATGTCATTATCCTCTTTGTTTTACATTTTCAATAGAAATAAGTGGACTCTGCAAACGACATAAAAGACGAGTTTGTATGAAAATCATGGTGTTGGGGCGGGGAAACAACCTTCTTCTGATCTGCTGTGCCTCTCTAATGCATGCCTTCCAATGAAGCTGCAATAATGGGGCTTGGTTACACGCCTGTAATTGGCCTTTTATTGGGATAATCTGACATCAAGCCTCGTCACGTCTAAACCGTGTCCAGAAAGAGAGAAAGAGAGAGAGAAAAAAAGTTTGTCAAGAACTTCCCAGACAACTTTAAAATAACATACAGCTGAAAAATTATATAATCATCACATCAAATTGAGTCTTTACCTATAAGTGAAAGCGATAAAATAAGAATGGCCTGTTAATTAAAGTTTTCAAAAATACCATTACCTCATATTTCATTATTATTCACAAGAACATTTTCTAAAACTACTAAAATATCAACTAAAATTGAAGGGAATGCTCTTTACAACCTCCTTAAAATATTAATAATAAACAGATATTCTATATAAAAATGTGCTTCTTATTATGAAGCTAGTAATATTTATTTGTGTTTTTAGATTATTTTTTTCTACGTGGACATGTTTTTGTTGGTAATAAAGTAAAAGTTTCAATAAAAATATTTTTTGAATAACCATCAATTATAATAAATATATATGCACTAATGACTACGATGATTTTATTTAACAGAAAAAAACAAGACATATGATTTAAAAACTCTACTAAAATTGTTAAACTGAGTATCAATTGCACAAACTCATACAAAATTACCATATACTAGAAAAAATTAGGTAAATTAGCAATAGCGATAAGACGGTGATCAAATTATTAGCACAATTAGACATTGATCCTTAGAGTAAAGATGAACACTCTTTATTGTTGATAAACGTTGAAATGAAAATGGTATTTTTCTTTTCCTCCCTTGTGTAAGTTTACCTGATAGGCTGTGCTTGTGGAGGGGCAAACACTATAAAAAATATTTTAAGTATTAGCTATTAAATTTAATTCTATTTAAATGTAACTTTCTGGTTACAATTTAATTGAAGATGTCGACCGTGATCATTTGCCATGCATAGTGTTCAGCGAGGACAGGTGAGTTTTTAATTGAATTCAATAATGCAGTAAAAATTCAGAGAGTTTCTGTACTGGAGGTCACTGGTGACCTGAAGCTATGATCACCAATGAAGAGGACATCTTAGCTGTGGTCAAGGAAACGGTTATCATGCCACCACATTTAGCAGGTTTCTGTAACATTTGTGTCATAATCAAAACCAGTTCTCTTTTAGGTTTTTTTCTTTTTATAAGGCAAACCCGATGACTGTGAAAGTGGTCATGATTCTCCTGCGAAGGAGGACCAAGAACAGAAGTTGATTGTAATTTTGAGGATCCTTTAATCCATAAATCTACACTGTCTGCATCTAAGATATTGTATCTATTATGGCATTGATCAAATCTGAATTTGTAACTTTTTATTTATTTTAAGGCAGATGATTAAAGACAAAGTATTTGTAAATAGCTACATGTAATTGTTATTACAGTGATGGTATCAGGCTGTGTCCTCCCCTAAATAACTGCATTTCATTGTTTACTCACTGCCATTAACAACATGATGATTTAGTGCAAAAAGTTTTAGTTGTGAGTTGTGATAATTAATTGTTCAGTTAATAGATACTTTTTTTTCAATATATTATTTTCCACATTTAAACTGATTGGATGCGTTCAGTTGTTTAATGCGTTTGGACAATGTCTGGTTATCTTTCATATTAAACTTTTTTTTTTCCTCAACTGTTGGGGGATAATTTAAGGGATAATTACAAGATTTAAAAAAAATTACAAAACTGAAAATTCAAAGATTGTTTGATTATTTTAATTTTTTGATTTTTTTTTTTTTACAGAGAAATTTCAGCTTTTAAAATGCTGTGACTGCCTCAGTTTCTTTTTTCTTTTTTAAATGTATTTATTAATTTTCATTTTTAAGAACAAAACACAACACAAAACCAAAGCTCAGTCTAAGAGAAAAGAAAGAGAAACAGGGCTTATATATTTTCATCATTTTAAAGTCAAAGTCTGAGTTAATAAATGCTCAAGGCAGGATGGTGGACACGTGTTCTTCAGGTTAGTCCAAGAAGGGCATCCATATGCATCCAAAGATGACGATCTTAGTGGGCGAGGCATGTTAGAAAGCCAAGTGGAATATAATCCAAAATAAGCTTCTTCCTGCCTCAATTTATAACCTCCATGCAAAAAGTTATGTTATCCATCTTACTGATTAAATTATTTATTTAGACATTTAATTCTTTTGATAATTTTGCAAAAAAAATAAATAAAATAAAATAAAAAATAAATGAATAAGTATCCTGGGTATGAACTGAGGATAAATGTGAACAACAAATTAATTATAAACGGAGGCATATTTTGTCGAAAAATGTTAGTCATTTAAAAATAATGTCAAAAGAACAATTTTAATCTATTTTTCTTTTTTTTTTAGAATGAATTAATTAGTCTGAGATAATAATGAAAAACACATTTATAATTCACAAATTTTTTCCCATTGTTTACATCTTAAAAACTGACTGGAACTTATTTACTGAACATTCTTAATGTATAAATTTACATACATTTTTTCCTCACAAATTGTAAATAAACAGTTTCACTAATTTATTGGTTAAACTCTAACAGTTTGTTTTTCATGCATCACGACCACCCGAGCAGAATTGTTGTCGCCACCCCCCCCATCCTGCCACATATCAAACTACCGGGGCTTGAACCTGACCCCACAGGACCATCTTAGGGCGAGCTTGTCACATTGCATTCCCGCTGGCGCATTGTTGCCTCGAATAACAATCATAAAAAAAAAAAAAAAGGAGTTCATCAGCGCTTTGAGGCAGATAGATAGTGTGGCCGGTGGTTCCAATGCACCTCCTCTGCCCCCTCCCCATCCTCAGCTCCCTGCGGTGCTCCCGGTTTTGGCACGGGAGGGGGACAAAACCCAGGGAAGAGGGGGGCCGCTGTGAATGGCAAAGCACCGAGGAGGCCGAGGGAGAGCAAAAAGGAGGCGGTGTGCCTTTGTAGTCGCGGAGGAATGCGGAAATGTCCCCGCTCCGTGTCAAACCTCTCTGAAGGGGGTCAGGCCACATTCAGCCGGCGTGGGAAAGCCAGCCAAAGACGTAGCTCACACGGGCGTGCGGGGCCGCAGTTGCATGGGCCCATCCGCGGATATGTGCAAGACAAGAAAAGAAGCGAATCCGAATCCAAGAGAGGAGCGTGGTTTTGGAGGGCTATATCACGCGTTTGCCTTTGTCCTATGACCCCCCACCACCACGTCCACCAAACACCCACCAAAGCAATCCTACACACCCCTTTCCCCCTCCACACCTCCTTCCACTCAAGCTGCAAAGAGTGTCTATGCGCAAGTTTTTGTTTTTTTTTTTTTTTTTTTTCTCTCCTCCAGCCCTCCCCTCGCTTGTTTGAGAGTCCTCTGCTGGGGCTGGTGCAGTCTAAGGGATGGGGGGTTAGAGCCAGCGACGTCAACTACCTGTGTGGCCCCCGCATGGAGGAAAGTGGACAGGGATGCGTTTGATGGAGCAGTTTTATGCGAGACTCGAATGCCTCCTCAGCATTTTACTGGGCATGCCGACGTCACGACATTTTACTGACTGCCATAAATAAGGTAAAAATAATAATAATAATAATAGACGTGGATATTTCTGCAGAATTTCTAAAATGAACGGCTGTCTGATGCTAAAAATAAACACTTCACTAACAATAACATCCCAAAGTAGCAAATGCATGTTTACAAATCTGTTATAATTTAGGCCATTTTATATTAGGGTTATATTAGGGTGCGCGCACAGATAAATTAGAAAAAATTCGAGGAAGCAAGGGAAGCTAATGGAAATATGATTAAAACTAAGCAGACACTCTGTTTTATGCATTTAAAGTGGTTTGGAGCTGTAAAAGTGAGTTTTGATGCGTTTTAAATGGACTGTTGCTGTAGGAAGTTAAAACAATGCAGCACGTGCTCACAGTTTGGCTTCTCCTCAAACAGAAACTTTCACGGACGGATATTAAACAGTTATATTTGTGTCCGTTTTTTAACGCTAGACATTCCTGTGTGCTGCACTCGGTCTCTTTTTCTGTGTTTTCCATGTTTTTAATCTGTTTTAAGACGGCAAGTGAACTCACGTGAACAGAAGTTCTGCAACGCTGCACGCGGTGTTAATTGATAAGTGCTCGAGACAGTTTATTTAACGCAAAACTACCTCAATGTGTGAGCTAAAGGTGGCTTATTTAGATTTTTTATTATTATTATTATTATTATTATTATTATTATTTTCTGTTAGTAGGAGGACATGAGTTGTAATGCGTAACAGGAGGAGGAGGAGTGGAAGCTGGGAAACGCAACGGAGAGTCGCTTTTTTTTCTGATAGTCCGAATAAAAACATGATGACAGTCCTGTTAAAGCCCACCTGGAGCTTGATTTCACCAAATGTGACAAAGATGGTCTCTTCCTCCATCTGTGTGTCTCTGTCGTCTAGGCATTGCATGTGCCAACTATATTCTGTGAGTATGCCTTTGTGAAGAAAGCTCGTCACCCTCGCCGGGATTCCCCGTAACATTTTCAACAAGAGACAAGGGAGGAAAAAAAAAACCCAGCAAAAATGGACAAAGAAAGTATTGGTACTCAATACGAGCCTGTGGCCGAGATCGGAGAGGGTGCATACGGGAAAGTGTACAAGGCAAGGGATTTGAAGAACGGGGGACGCTTTGTAGCCCTAAAAAGAGTTCGTGTCCAGACGGAGGAAGAGGGCATGCCTCTCTCAACTATCCGGGAGGTGGCGGTACTGAGGCAGTTGGAGGCCTTTGAGCACCCCAATGTTGTAAGGTGAGTGAGTTGGGGGGGGGGAGAGGGGAAGGCAGAGGTGGGTACCGGTCTGGCTGTTTATTTGTTTGTGTGTGTGTGTGTGTGTGTGTGTGTGTGTGTGTGTGTGTGTTTGCATGTTGTTTTAATAGGGGTCGGGGGTTTAGGGATACCGGGGAGGAAAGTTTGCATGTGAACACTAGACAAACGCTACTTCCTTTTTGATGGTCTCATATGACCTTTGTGGGATGTCTGCGCTGAATGCTATGAAGGAGAAGTCAAACTTTGTCATTTTTCGGTGCAAAAAAAAAAACAGCGAGTTAAATAGCAACATGCATGTGCATCACCGTTCAGATGCATTCATGCCATTTTTTTTTAAATCACAAACACTAATCTATTATATTATACTATTAATATTTTTGGAAGAAATGTAAGTGAGAAATCAAATCAAAGCCACGCATTATCCAGAAGTGAAAGGAAAACAATATGTGGTTCTCTAAGCATTTTGTGAATGCAAATCTGAAAAGTGTGGTATGCATTTGCAGTTGCATTTGCTTCTACCAGCTTTACTCATATATTGAAAAAAATATTGGCTAATCTTCTTTACTAAGACACTCATGAAGATGATAATATTGATTTGCAAGTCTTGCCACATATTCAGGGTGTGTTTAGGTTTGACTTTGAGTCACTCAAAGACATGAATATGTTTGGTTCAGGCATATTCATAACCGAATGTTTTCTATCTTTAACCGTTGTTTTTTTTTTTGTTGTTTTTTTTTGTTCTGTTTTTGTTTTTAATCAATGACAGAAAAATCTGAAGGCCATCTGTCATTTTTGACAGATTAAAATTCACACCCCTGACCACTCGGTCTCAGGTGTGTCCGCAGAGCGAAGATTCAACCTCTATGACAACATCAAAAGCCCCACGAGAAGTCGTCTGTCCAAGGCGAAACTCCAAGACCTTATGAGAGTAGCCTCTGCAGCAATCCTCCTTGAGACATTTGATTATGCACAAGGTGGTGCGCAATTCAGGTCAATGGGGACCAGGAGGAAGTTGTAAGACTGTGCGCTTAGGCCACAGCGGGTCAACTGTTCATATGTTGAGTACAATAACTTAATTTGATTGTTTATAGTTACTGGGACCACAGTAAATGTTTTTTTTTGTTTTTATTTTTTTGTCACTGTGGAGAAAACATTCTTGATGTGCGATGGCGCGACGTGGATTCTCTCTTCAGCTTGTTTGGGTTGAACATTAAACTGGATGAAAACTAATTACTATTGAGCATGTCATTATTATAATTTTAAAAAATTAATAAGTTGAAATATAGGTTATGACAGGATTTTTTGACCCTGTCAATCAAAATGACAGTAAAAAAAGAAAAAAAGTCTTGTGTGACCTCTGCTCTAGGTTTACGTTTAGGGTTGTTGACATGATGGAAGGTGAACCTGCAGCCCAGTTTCAAGTCTTTTGCAATCCTTTACAGATGCTCTTCCTGAACTTTTCTCCTCTTTTCCGCTAACTCTGATCAACATTTCCGTTAACGAAAAGTGTCTCCACAGTATGATGCTGCCAGCCTCACGTTCTGACAGATAGAGCGTTGTATGAAGGTGCAACCTGTTGTAATTTTATTCAGATAAAATTATGCATGCTGTAAGTAGACTCTCTTTACTGATTATGTGACTTCTAAAGGCAATCGGGGAATCAGAGTAAACTTTACACTACGATGCGCCATCTAATCTGCAACTGTTCTGAAAGGTCTACTCTGAATAGAACGTGCTTTTTTCACTTGAAAGTCAAACTATTTTGCAAATACTGACTGTGACTTGACATCAGCTGAAGACTGGATGTTTTCTATTCAGGGGGCAAATTTCCATGTTGTGTGCACTGCTGGTCTCAAGTTTCCATGTCGCACCTTTGTAAATTGGCTGTTAGAACCCCATTTGCATCTTAACTAGTTTTGAAAACCTGTTTGTTGGCACACTCCTCAAACACCTGCATGTTGCCACCGAAAAACCCCTACCATGCTTTTCAGATTTTCTAATTTGGAAAAAACCTTTGAGGCTCTGCAAAATACATCGTTTTGTAAAGCCATCGAAAAGTTCGGGGGTGGGCGGTCATTCATAAAGGTAAAGCCAACGAAGTGGAGAGACGCCAATGGTTTCAAAATTCTATACAACTCCACAGATCCCAGTAATTTGTACAAAATACTAAACATCAAAGTGAAATGACCCGTGTTACAGTAGCTATTTGCATGGATATAACTTTGTCTATTTGCATAAATAAAAAGGAAGTTCGAAGGGGTGAAATGGCGATGCACAGATATAAAAGGAGGGCTCTGAATTGGCAAAGCTGCAAAACAAATTGTTGTTTAACTGATTGTTTCACACCTCCATAGTTTACATCAATAAAACTGTCGTCTTTATGCATACAGACTCCATTCATGTTACTTTTGTAACCTTTTTCTTGAAAAAGTAGCAGCAGTAAACAAAGGATCTGAGCTCTGACTCTGCAAACCTGACTCTAATTGAAATAGATATGATTACTGGAGCGGCACAAGAGCAATTGATCTCTTAGTTTTTTTTGTCTGCTCTCCAAACAGATGTCATTTGCTTTCAGTCTTATATTCGTTCTCATGGCAGTAGTCAGATACTGCGTCATACATTGGCACAGGCCAAGGTCTGACCTTGTGCTTGTTTTATTGTGGAATATTAAGAGCCGTGGGATTGAAGAGGAAGTTCTAAATGAATGTTTCAGAGGCATGGCTGGTGGCCTTGTGCCTCCAACAGTAAATCTCCAGCGTATCCGTAAACATTGGAGGATAATTGTAGGCTTTTATTTTACTAATACCATGGAGGCTTTTTGTCCTATTAGGTCAACAGAGACGCCAAGTGACGTATTTTGTAGTAAATCAGTCAGATTAAGCAACGGCATGTTTCTTCGTCTCTATGCTCAATTATACATTTGACATTTTGTATACCTGTAAAAGATTTTTAAAGGCTTCTCGTGTCCTAACCTGTCAAGATTGTCCCGCAGTTCAGGACTGGAAAAATGCGTTGTGGGGCAAGTGTGGGAGTCCAGGCAAACCCTGGATGTTTGTAATGAGGTCCATTATTTATTCCATATGTTCGGAGTCTGCTGAGAGCTTCCATTGTACTCCAACGACCAAGCTGTGAGGGGTGTTTAACCCCAGCACTACAGAAGGAGTGTGCCTTCCAGAATGACATCATATTCAGCACTAATACCTCGAACAAATCACATCTTTTTTTGGATTCCATCGGTCCCCATGCTCTGATTACGGGACCCATATGTTGCCTTGTTAGATGATGAAGGATTTTGTGTCAGATTCCTTTTAGTTACCAAGTCGGATTGGAAAGCAAATAGAATTCAGTACATTGTTGTGAGATGTCGCAAATGCATCTAATGAATTCAAACGGTAAAATTACATCGTTTATAGTTAGGTAAGGAGTTGCTTTTATTAACTTTTGCCAATTTATAGTTGTCTATAATAATACTATGACACGTACAAATTTATTAGTGTCAACTTTAGTTTATCTCAGTAGTGAGACGCAATAAACCCCAAAATTCAAAGGACAAAATGTGATGAAAGCTTCTAGAAAGAGATAATTGGTTTGAGTTGATCCAAAAACGAAGAGACTACAAGATTATTCCCATCATAGCATATTTTTAATTTTTATGTTTGGCTTATTGCTCATATATGTACCACAAACATCCAGTAATGCCGTTCATTGAGAATTTTTAAGTCTCACTTTTTTCCTCTGCACTAATCCTTAACCGGCTTCGAAATGTTGTTGTTCACTGAATGTCAACAACATTTCAAGATAAAGAAGCAAAATTTAATATAATTTCTTAACACCGCTCAAAAATGATTTCAAATTAGTCACATGTTTAATTAGACTGTTACATTTATCTATGCACCACTATGTCAGATCGGCGCAATCTATTCATATGCACCCTAAATTTATCTTCAGTTACATGCATTCAGATTTGATCCTAGTCACAATGCACTGCAGCTAGATTCGCTTTATGCCAGCTGGTAAAAAGTGATCTTAGTCTCTGCCTTTGCAGCCTCTCTCTATCCTGGTTAAGCATGTGGCGACAGTGAAAAGGAATGTCGCTGTCTTAAAATGATGGAACCTCCAGCAGAACTCAACTCAGTGTGAGCAGACATCTGCTGGGACTGAATGGGGATTTTTACAGACAGATCAGACATTTAAAAGATGGATACGCTGACCTAGCGGTATCTCCTATCTTAAAGAAAAAGCACACAGTTGATGGCAGCAGTGGCTTTGTCGGTGTCTTCATCTCAAAGAGGCAAACAGATGAGCAGAGAAGCAACAACAGTGGTACTTTCAATGCTGTTGTGCAGAAAAGAAAGATGACTTTATCAATGTTGAGTGAAACTATAAGCTACGAGATGTCATATGTGGATCCATCATTCGGTTTTACATCCTCTGTATTGTTGTGGTGCAAGTTTCCAGTTCTGCTGTATCTACAGACAACATGCTTTTCTAGACTACTCAGAGTTTGAGGAGTTGTCATAGTGCTGGGTGAGGAATGCTGTTTATAGACCCCAACCCTTTGAGTTGAACATACTGGGTAGCTTTTTTCTTCTTCTTTTTTTTTTTCCAGCTTCTCATCAAAGCTGGCTTTGGCAGGTCTGCCGACATAATCGGGATTCTTGGCTTAGGCTGGATGTGTAGTAAAAACATATCCAGCCTCGTAACACCGATCTTTAAGGTTGGACAGTTAATATGTTTGCAAAATCACCGCATCGTTATCAGGATCGGTGAAACATGCAACAGAAAGTCAAGATTCAGATAGATCTTTGAAAGATGTTTAAATTAATCTCGACCAATCGGACACCGTTTCTGTCCAGTCACATGACTAGCGCTTTGAACTCTTGGGTTAGCTCCGTGCAGCGAGTTTATTATTGCAGTGAGATACTACTGTCTCATTAATCTCATATTTTGAGGAAAAACTCACTGTGTTGGCAGTGACATGATCAACTGGTCCTTGGCACCGTCGTCCGAAAATCGACTCCTGACGTTAGAACTTAAATTGCATATCTTCCCCACATCCAGGCTGGTTTCTTTACATAAAGCATAAGCCATAACATCTTATAAAGTTTTCTATTATTTTATTGCAGATGTGGTTGAAATATTGGTTGTTTCTGTACTTAATATCTGAAATAATTTGTAAACACAGTGACTCATATAGTCCTTGGCTGTCTGGAGTACTTTGGAAGTTTTTTTTCCCCATGTTTTATTGAATATAGAAAAAATGGATGACAATTTTAATTCCAGATGCTATTACCTGTTCTAATTACTAAAATGTCGTTCATCGATGTAACCTCTTGAATTTATTCCATCCATTCCAGGTCTGACTATTTACTTACATCTACTTCCACTACACTTTCATCATGACTTCAGATCTTGTCAGATTAACCTCTAATTCTGCAGACAATCCCGATACTCTAAATATATGTTTTTAAGGCCTTTATATGCTGCTACCACTCAAGCTGTTTGCTTGAATCCCTGGAAATACTTGTCGAAATTTCCCTTAAATCGAATGATTTTTTTTTTATACTTTAGAAATTGAGATAGACTTTAAGAGTCCATAATAAACACGATTACTTCTGACTTCAAATAATAATTCTCTTCATCTCTAAATGCAAACTCCAGAGAGAAATCAGAGACCTTATAATCTCAGCGTTCATAGATCTTTAAGCGATATCAGTTGTTTGTTTTGTTTTTATTAGTAATTGGAAAATAAAAACTTAGTTGGAATAATAATAAACATAATCATTTATAATACATGTAATAACTTGATAGATGTACCAAAATCTCTTTATCTTTTTATGTATTAAGTGAGATTGTACTTTGATTAGGAGGATTAATTTTTAAGATTGATTTCTTTTAAATAAATAACAAGATTAATATTTAATCTGAGGGATGCTTTAATTATTAATAGTTGAACAAAGCCTGTCAGTGTCTCTTTATTTGTACATCGATTTATCTGTCTGTTCTTGTCGTCCATCCATCTTCCTTTCAGTCTTTGATCTTTGCAGGTTTGATGATTAAATACCGATTACTGTGCTAATATTTTATTGTGAACTCATTTCATCACAAGATTATTTCCTAAAGATGCCAAACTAAGAGTGCCGTTCCCTCCTGCAGCAAACATAATATGATGCTTGCCTCCATCCATTGTATTAAAAACGTAGAAATGTAGAAACCCTGCAAGTAATTAACTTAGAAAGGAAAAAATAAGTTTTCTTTTTAATAAGACAAGCTACTTTTTCAATAATGTGGCCGTCCTTATAGCGGTGGTGGTCAGTGATTATTTTCCCTTTGTTCTCTTGGTGCAGGTTGTTCGACGTCTGCACGGTCTCTCGGACTGACAGAGAAACCAAGCTCACGCTGGTGTTCGAGCATGTGGATCAGGACCTAACCACATACCTGGAGAAGGCTCCTGACCCCGGCGTACCACCTGAGACCATTAAGGTAAACCATCGTCCATTAGAACCTCGTGACATTTGGGCGTGCACCTGTGTCTCGAGAGTACAGTTATACTGATGCCCAATTTAAAGGACTACGCTGTTTCCGTTTGAAGTATAAAAGCAGCTTTGGGCTAATCCCCTGTGGCTGCAGCTCTGGTTGAACACAGCTATGTCTCTTTGGTTCTGAGAATTTTTCTTGACCAAAGTCACAGCAGACATGAAGGACTTCCTTTAACATCAGAAGAGTAGCACATGTGGCAGATGGGCTCCAAATTAGAGGCTCCCTTCAGACTCTATTTTGACCCTGCCCGCCAACTTTCTTACAGATGGAGACAGAACAATTAGAGAACAGTTACTTTTTTACTAAAAAAAAAAAAAAAAAAAAGACCAAATAGATCAGTCAGAATAATGTTTTTATCAGCTGTTTTATTAAACCTACCAGGAGATCTCTGCTCTTTTGTAAAAAAAAAAAAAAAAAAAAAAAACCCACACATTTAAGAGGTTTCCACTTACATTTTGCTGGAAGGTCGGAAGTGAGTTAGCCTCCATCTTGTTTTCTCAATTACTGCCTTCTTTTATTTAGACCTCTCTGACAAGAAAAAAAAAAATCCCCTTTCTCCCTGTTAAACATTCGTTTATCAGGTTTCTCCCCCTGAGGTCTGCTGATGTGCACCAAACAATATTGGAAATGAATATTATTTATGTTTGAATGAAGAGGCCTGGGAAGTGCGGAGTGTCGAATTTAAATTGGAGACTTTCTAGCAGCATAGCAACCGCCGACTGTCACCTGAGGGCCGGGCTTATGTGTGAACGTTTTCTGTCAGCGAGAAATGTTGTTTAAGTGCAGATGATTCAGGTGGCTTGCGCCGGAGGCTTTAACTGAATTTAATCCCGATCGTTGATACGAAGTCTCTTTGGATGTATCGGTTTATTGTTAAGTTTTGTGATCACAATGGCCCTCAGTGTATCTTGGCCTCAATATAAATACCACTGTTCAGTTGGGGGCCTTTTAAATTTCTTGGCGAGCATCACTGAACAAATAGCATAACAGAGACGAAGGATCACACCACACAACTCAGGGATGAAGATGTGGAGATGTTTACGTCAGGGTCAAATTATACAACATTATTAAAAATTTAGAAGCTCTTCGTGAGCATTGGTCAGTCAATCAACTGAAGCTGGAAATAATATGGCACAACTGAAAACCTGGGGTAACTCTGGAGGAGCTGCAGAGATTCACAACTCGGATGAGAGTCTGTTCACAGAACAAATATCAATCATGCATCCCAGAAATCTTGCCATGATGGAAAAAGTGGAGGAAGATTACCATTGTTTGAGAAAAACAACATAAAAGTACTCCCATTTTCATTTTGTAACAAACTATGTAGGGGATACACGACTACCTGAAAAACACAGTTTGCTTGCATAGAAAGTTAATATTGCACATCACCTTAAACATATGATTGTTTTGGTGAAACGAGACGGTGTCAGCTTCTTACTGAGGGTAAAAAGGCTTTCTGCAAAAATTTGAAAACTGTGTAAAGAAATTTGTTTGTTCCAATTATGAACTGAGCACTAACATGCATCGATATGTGCCAGTAAAGTATATTTAACTTTGTGAGTTTAACTTGAACAACGTGGATGTTTTAAACTTGCCTTCTCTCAGGTAATGTATACCCTTACTGTATAACCTTTGCATCAAAGCTCAGTAAGGCAGGAATGCACCTTTGAAGAAACAGTCATAAGATCACTGTGAAGCTGAAAGGAGCACATGTTCCCCGTCCTGAGATGTTACAACAGCACTCATTTAGAAAAGATGCAGATTGGTTTAGGTCTGTATGGTTGCTCTGCGTATGACCATGCAAGCTCACTAAGTTGCTTCTTGAATGTAGTGTTTCTTTATTTTACCACTTGGGGATTTCTGGATCCGAAAGGCACAACAATGTTGTGTCCAAAACCATGTTAGTTTTATCTACAGTTATTTTTAACACTTACTGATCCGTACAGCAGAAAATTTTGCACCATAGACCAAAGTGCTTACAGTTTTTAAGGGACTTGGACAAAAGTTGACTGTTTTGCTTTGAGACCAAAATCTAATCTTCACAATACAATCAACACCAAAAGGGAAGGAAGATGGCACAAGGAAGGAAGGGAAATAAAAAAAAGATTGAATCCTGCCTTTTTTCTTAACCCTATCATTGCAGTCCCCAGCTGCATGGCACGCTGTAGTTTTCCATTTTGTAAAGTTACACATCATCACGTTTAAATTCATGCATGTACTATTTCAGTTTGGGTGAAGTGCAAGAAAGATTTTTCAGCACAGAGGAGCGGTCAGACAACTTGTCTTTGCAGTATGAAGACTCATTGGGCACCCACCTCCTTGTGCTTTCTCCCAGCATCTGTTTATCTGGAGTCTTCAGAAGACAAAAGGACGAGAAGTGTCGGCACATCATAGACAGTCCTGTTATTTCTAGGAGAGTGGACACTGCACACTGACCTGAAAGTGACCCCATTACTCTCTGCCCCCTCCCAAACAACTTTAGTTGCACTTGGCTGTACCATCTGACAACATATTGTTGACTCGGTCGTCCTATTAGTTCCTGTTTGAGTTTCGGTGTTGAATATGCGAACATGTTTTCACTCAACCAAGAAGAAACGCGTTGAGCCAAACGCCCTAAACTAAAAAAAAAAAAAAAAAAAAAAAAAAAACCCCCACATTTTTCCACAAAACCATCCATCCATCCTCCGCAAGAGACACCCCCACATCGGCCCAACTTGTCCACTTCAGCACCCCCCGTCCTCCACCACCCACTCAGACTCAAGACCCACCACATGGTCATTGATGAAAGAGGCCCTCCTCCAGGAATCAAATGAGCTGGAAGGACATCAAGCAGCCGGGTTGCCCCATGCTCGGCTCTCCTCAGCCGGGCCGGCGCTTGGGTCTCGCCCACCCTCCTCGGCTGCCATCGTCCAAGCTTCCACAGCTACACTCTGTGGGCCCGAGAAGGGGGAGGTTAATGAAGCATGGGCAGGGAATTACACTAACGTTAACCGGCAGATGTCCTATATTGTGCCAAACTACAATAAACAATATGGCTGCCTCTGGTACATTTGCATCAGAAAAGGAGGGGACCTCCGAGAGCCATGTTTTGACTGATTCTTGCAGTGGGCTGATTTTATTTTATTTTTTTAAAATGCTGTTCCTGTTTTTATTTATTCAGGGTCTAATGATGCTCCTGTTTTTATTTCCCATTAGCGATGTTTTAGGTCTTAAGCAAAAATCCACATCGGATGAAGCAAATATTTTTTTCTACCTTTAACCGTGCTGTTAGACATAATACCAATAAAAATGCATGTAACCAATATTATACAACGACAGCTTCATTATGTTTTGTTGGGATTTTACATGACAAACCACACAAAGTGGGCAAAGATGCTTACAAAGAAAAATCTGTGAAGCGTTGAATTAATTTGTGCTCGATACTTGCTATTCTGATACCTATTAAAAATGCAACCAGCTGCCTTTTAAGGTCACCTAATTAATAAATTCAGTCCACTCCTGTGCATTTTAATGTGAGCACAACTACAGCTCTGATGCCATCAGAGGTTTTTTAGAGGACATAAATGAACAACCACCGTCATGACGACAAAGGAACACAGCAGACAGGTCAGGAGAGAAAGTTGTGAAAACGTTTAAAGTAAACCAAACTCTAAAACTTTTTTAAAAGATTTGAACATCTCACAAGACTCCAAACGTACCGCCACTTGGTCGTCCATCTAAAACTTGACAGGAGAACATTATGTAGAGAAACATTCAAGAGCTCTTCTTAGCTTAGTCCAGGTGAAAGAATCTGTCCTCTGGATACGTAAAAGTTGTGCAATTCACAGATCTGTCCTTCATGGGAGATTGTCCGAAAGAAAGCAATCACTGAATCAAGGAGGGCCGTTTTGCATGTAGAGAATGCAACCAAACATATTTTTGACTTGCATTATACAAGATTGCAAATTGACACTTCGTCGTCTCATTGTGAACATGCCATCCCACTGTGAAACATGGTGGGGGCATCATCATTATGTGGGGGTTCTTCAGCAGGGGTGGGGAGGCCGGTCACAGGAAGATGGAAGGAGAAATCCTGGGATAAAATTTCTGGGAGGCTACAAAAGACATTTGACTAGGGTCGTTGTTGCAGTTAATTATGCACAACTTTGTTTGTCTATTGCAATATAAAGATGCTAAAAAAAATGCATAGAAGGTTGTGGTTGTAATGGGACAATGTGGAAAAGCTGAAAGGATAGAAATACTTCTGCAAGGCACTGTAAGTGGTTCTTTAAAGAAGGGCAGGAAAACTTGGATTGTTAACATTTCAGAGTCACACTCATGAGATAATTAGTGTTTACGAGGAAATGCTGTTGAAAGGAAGCACGGTGAAATGACTATTTAAAGGAGAGAGGAACTGATGGGTGGGGGAATGCTATTGTGTCAGCCCCCCATGATATGCACGCACACACACGCAAACACGCGTGCACACAAAGTGACCAACTGCCTGCCTCCGTCCTACGGCCCTGTCTGTCTGCTGCCCTTCTCTGTGGGTCATGGCTGGATGGAGATGCAGAAAGGAAGGTCTGTTTTTGCATCCTGTTCTTGGAAGGGGGGCACACACACACACACACACACACACACACACACACACAAACACACACTCACACGCGTGTACACGCCAGCACACAGACCAGTGAAAACACACATACAATAATANAGACATCACACTTTTTTTCCCTGTNTGTTTTTTGTGTATAGCAGCACGTCAATCTTCACATCCAGAGTTGCGTAGTGTGACCAAAACAGCAGCCAGCCCAGTACCATTTGCTGATCATTTTTGCTTGAGTGCGCAGACCCCAGTTCCTTTGACTCACACGCCAGCTGGTGGACTACTGAATAGAGCTGTGGGCTCAGGTCCATGTCACTTGTGGGGTCTTGGTGCTGAGCTTTGAGGTGGTTTACGGGGTGTACATCTGTAGCAAGAATGTGTTTCTTGAAGAAAAGCAGATTACAGAGACTGTGGGAGAGAGAGCGAGAGAGATCAGTTGAACTCTTTGGTTTTGCTTTGTCAAAACTACCTGTAATAACTTATTTGTTTATAGGTGTCGGACCTGTTTGAGAGTATTTCGGTTTCAAAAGGACAAGTCTGAGCTGGTTTCGACACTGTTCATTCGTTTTCACAGCAATTCACTTTGAAAGTTTGTCATGAACGTGCTGCCTACGCTGCAGCCGTTTGAGGTCAGATTTTGGGCATATAAAGAAAGCGAGCACCAATTAACTAAAGAAGGACAGCTGCTTAGTAACAGAGATCTGTGCTTGCACAAAGCAGGGGCCTCTTTCTGACGCTGGTGTATGTGTGTGTGTGTGTGTGTGTCAGTTATCAAACATCTGCCACAGTCGATGAGAAAAGACACGGGCCTCTTCACGTTAACTCTCTCACTCCCAGACTGTCTTAGCTTTTATTTTGAAGTTCACACGTTAAGTTGTTGCCTTTCAGGCCTTTTTTATTGTCGAATACTTTGCTGCGCAGCAGAAACCACACCGCTTCAGAGGGTTTTTGAAGATACCTGTTGCTAGCATTCAAACTGAACAGCTCATCCTGAATCACTCAAACCTGCACATGTAAACAATTATTCAACACCAAACATCTGGTGTGTGCTGTGAACCTTAAACATAGACTAGTATAGTGGTTCTAAAACTTATAATTACCAGTCTAGTACATGCTAACTTTTCTAAGTAACACCACATTGCCGGGTCACGAAAAAGGGAAACATTCAGAGCCTTTGGCACTTCATCTTTTAGAGAAAGAGGCAACAATCCAAGTGGGAAAGGTTAATTTTCCACTAACCATGGCTTTAAATCCAATATGGCTGCCATGCACATAAAACTCAGAGTAAAAAAACTAAAAAAAAAAGTGTCTTTTTTAAATGTTTTATTAAATGTATTTCTGTTTTCAATCAGGATATGATGTACCAGCTGCTTCAGGGGCTGGACTTCCTGCACTCGCACCGAGTGGTTCACCGTGACCTGAAGCCCCAGAATATTCTGGTGACCAGTGGAGGCCAGATCAAGCTGGCAGACTTTGGTTTAGCCCGCATCTACAGCTTCCAGATGGCTCTCACGTCAGTGGTAAGTTTCTTTGGCCTGTCTGAACAGAAATGTTATCGAACCAAGCATTCCAACTGTGCGCTTTCTCTGGTTAGGACTTTAAAATAGGAATGCTCAAGGATACAGAAGTCGTTGCCCTCCAGACTCTGTCAATCTGTGCGCTCGCTTTTTTTTTTGATTGAAAGCAAACACGAAATTGATCTCAAGCTTTAAAATAATAAATATTTACTTTAATATTTGCTTCCACATTCTTAGTCCGTACACTTGACAAAGAGCGTACCCCCTTTTGAGCAACATCTTTTGATGGACAAACATGCACTCCCTTGAACCCCCTCCACATGTGAATTAGAAAATGTCTAATGTGTTAAGGTTGGCACTTCCAGGGCATCAGAGAATAGCGTATAAGAGCTCTGCCAAATGATTGGGTTTCTCTGTGTAAAGTGAGAGTGAGGCACCCCCTCCTCTCTCCCTTTGTGGCCTGCTTCAGCAATCCCTCGGTGGCTGTTGCAAAGAGGGATGGACAGACGAGGAGAGACAAACACCCCTCCCTTCCCACTGTCGGCCCTTTGATGTCTAACTGTTGCACTCGAGGCTCTGATGACCTGATAATATAGAAAGGGACTCTGAAAAGAGTCATTGGAAGAACTTTGAAGGAAGAGAGATGTGACTTTGAAGATGAGTGTGGGCAGCCACAGAAGCTCCTTACCTAAAAAAAAAAAGAAAAAAAAAAAGAAACAGTGTCACTAATTTTATGTCTAACATCAACAAACAATAAAAAAAAACCTCATCTGGTCCTTATTGCAACTCTTCATACAAAGTTGAACATATCTAGATTATCCAGGTTCTTCTAGTTCAACGTCTCAAGCAATTTACATTCAGCGTCTTGCAAAAGCATTTATACCCCTTTAACTTCTTCTCACATTTTATAGAGAAGTTTCAAAGCATTTTATATAATGTATAAAATTTATTACATAGAATTTACCTGTTGCTCTACGTGGCATCCTGAACTCTGTACAACAGGAGCTTTTAAATCAAACGCCACTGGAAACTACTGATGAATAAAAAATGAATCATCATTAGCTCTTTCAACGGGTTAGTGGTTCAAAACACATGACTAACTCAACACCAAGATTATGCTATGGCAATAAAAGATTAATTTATTTTAAGCCTAGTTGTACATTGCTCCTTGGGGCACCAATAAATAATGCAGGACAATACACTGAAACTTCCAAAGCTTCTAGAAAATAAAAATGCTTTCCCCGTTATAGCAGGAAAGAAGGCCTTCTGCCAAATGTTGAGCAGCTGAAGTCCTATGTATGAAAGGGAAACCTGCCAATTTATATCTGCAGTAGTTACTTTTCTCAGTTCTTGTTTGGTGTTTAAAAAAAAGTGACCAGAGTTTCAACACAGAGGCAAACTTTCTTCCACAGTCCAAAACGTTTCTGATAGGTTAATTGATGTCTGTAGGTATGAGTGTGTGTCCGCGTGTGTGTGTGTGTGTTTGTCCTGTGTCTCCGTACAAAGGGGATGGATGGATGGATGGATGGCCCATTTTTTTCACAAAAACCTAAAACGGTGTAAATGCATATTTAACAGTTAAATCAGCATTTAATGTCATTTAGAAAAACATGCAAAGATGAAACTTGCTGATTTGACAAGTTTTCAAAATGTCAGAATCGTTTTAAAGAGACAGTCTCTTTAAAAAAAAAGAGTTATAGTAATAAATCCAGTCAATTATGCAAATAAAAATGTCTCTGAATTATGAAGGGTTTTTTTTTGATTGAGTTAAGGATTTTGTCAGGTATTTCTATAATTTGTCACCATGCTTGATGATTCACAGCTAAGATGCAGGAGAGCACACGGCTTACCATTGAATTTACATATGTGTTACACAATAATCATTGTATCTGTGGTTTCACCAAAGGGTTAAATCTTCATCTGCTTTTTCTATGACTAGACGGGGACACTTTTTGCTGCTGGTTAAACACCTCCCCGGGAATTCACCATCAGATCGAAGTAGCAAGATACCGAGTCCCTAAAACTACTCTCAAACACCACATTGCACTTTTAAATGTGCTTTCACACTCATTCACATACTCATTTCCTTCCTTGGTTTTACAGATTGGGCCACAAAAATGAGATGGATGCGTGTGCGTATGTGCATGGGTGTGTGTGCGTATGCGTGCGTGCGTGCGTGCGTGCGTGCGTGTGTGTGTGTGTGTGTGTGTGTGTGTGTGTGCGTTTGCAGGGCACTGCAACGTGAGCATGGGATCTTTGGTTCCAGATGAATGTTCCTACGTCTGGAATCCCCCTGTCAACCGGACACACACACTCACACACACAAATCTCCATTCACCCGTTCTTTGTTTCCTTTTGCTAATAAAAGCACCTAATCTACACTGCACGCTGTGCAAATGTACACAAATACACACAGAGTTTAAGAGGATCTTCCCCTTTGCCCAACAGACCAGCAGTTACTTATTTAGTCACCTAAAGCCACCGTTACTGGCAGACAGATGGGCTTTGGAGAACTGCTGTTGCTTAAGCGAACTGGGCGATTTTCTCACTTTCAAAGTGATTCATTTAGGGCTTTTAGAATGACAAGATGGCTGAAGGAATCATTTGCATGAAGGTGTCAAAGAGTCCCTCACCCGCTCTTTTAACGTTTTTTTTTTTTTTTTCCAGCGTCACTAACTGAAAGTAGCGCCGTTATGCTTTCTGCTGATGAGATACCAACACTTCTCTTTTTGCAATGCATTAGCTTTCTCACCCAGCCACATGCCTGCTTGTTGAGATGTCATTGACAAAGTGTGTGGTCAGCGTTTGCATGTATGTATTAAAAATGTCGGAGCGGAGTTTTGGTGCTGCCATAGCTTCGGGTGACCTATGGCTCCTCCTGCATCAGTCACCGATCGTGTCATGTTTTCCCCCCCACTCCAATGGGGAGAGGAAAGGAAAGGAAATGGAAGGAAAGGAAAGGAAAGGAAGACCACCCATTGGCTGGTATGAGGTCCAGATTAGGCTGTCCCGACAGTCCCTGTGGGATTGTTGTTTTGTTGCTGTTTTTATGTGTGACCCTATCCTGGCTACAGGCTCTTTGTATGGCTCTGAGTGACGGGCAGAGAAAAGGACTGGATGAGTTAACTGATGCTGGTGTGTTGCTGTGGTTTGGTTTATTTCTTATCGGAGCACTGATATTCAGTTTCCCTTAAAGATTTGCAACGTTTTTCATCTTTTTACAATTGGAGTAAGAAAATCTGTTTCATCTTTGCGCCTTTGATCGAAGCATTACCTAAACGACAACTATGCAGTCGTCTAAGGGTTGTTTTGTCATTGGCCGCAGTATGATTGTTTTGGATCCTTTGGCTCACCTCCAACTAAATTTGTACCTCTGAAGCCGTCCAGTTAAATCCTTGCTCACTCAATTATGTTGCACATGAGTTTGATTAACTTATCTCTCTCAAAACTGTTAAACAGTCATAACAACTACATCAGAAATGATGTTAGACTGAACATTATTCATGTAAATATATTTGTAACATACATTCTGTAATGCTAGTTACAGAATAATCCTTGTTTGTGTATAAAAACTGATAGATTCTTTTGCTGCAGATTTGCAAGATTTTCTCTTATTCAGATTCCATATTATTTTTGTGATGCCTATAAAGTATTAAAGGTTTTAATACTTAAAGGTTTTAAAGTTAAAATCACAAAGGTTCTTTTTTTTTCTTTTTAGTTTTTTTTTAGTGTTTGAAATAAAGAAAATTATATACAGTTTTTTAAATATTTTACAAATCATTCAGATTTTTTTTTAGCTGTATCAGAGTTTTCTCCCCCCCGCCTCCCTCCATTTTGATACCCATAAAATTAAAGTTTCGGACGAGTTTGAAGCAAGAATAGGCTTTCAACATGCCGAGGTGTGAACACCTTATGAAAACGACAAAGAGAGCATTAATCAGAGAGACCCATTAGGCCATGATCATTCCAGAGGAGCTCCATAGATCCACAGCTCAGCTGGGATAATCTGTTGACAGGGGCTATTATTAGCCGTGCTTTCCACAAATCTGACCTTTTATAGCAAAGTGGCCAGTAAAGAAAAGACATTGTGGGAATAACGACACAGGAACTTCCATTTGTAGCTCGCTAAAGATAGCAGAGGTCTCAGTCTTCAGGCAAAACAATGTGCAGGCATCACCCTGAAAGCACCATCATGCAGCCAACATGTTTCATACCTGTGGCAGGCTATGAGAAAGGTATTTTCTTCCACTAGTCATAATTAATAAGAAGATCGCTTGACCAAACTTAAACCCCGGAGGAAATGTAGATCCTACAAAATGCTTGAGACCAGGGTAAAGATTTACCCGCCAGCAGAACAACAAGCCTGAATATGAAGCAGAAGCTACAATTGAATTGCTTAGGTGAAGTCTACCAAATATGTTGCAAATTTAATAGTCTGTTAATGTCAAAAAGATCTGTTCGGGATATTTTTTTTACTATAATATTATATAGAGTGCAAGGAATTAATGCTTGGAATGGCAAAAATATGTCCAGCTTGTGGAATGAAGCTCGACTGCAGTAAATGACAGAGACAACAGAGAATCGCAACCGATGTCCTTATTTTTATATTTTACAACATAATAATTTCACAACTGATCTACTATTTTAATAATTTCACAACTGATCTACTAGTTTAGATCAAAGCATCTTTGTGTGTTAGAATCCCCCAACCATACTCCTTGAAAAGTACCGAATTTTTCGAACTATAAGCCGCTACTTTTTTCCCACGCTTTGAACCATTCGGCGGCTTGTAGCCGGTGCGGCTTTTCTGTGGATTTTTCTTCAACCACCAGGGGGCTCTTTCGCAGGAAGTGAATCATTAGAAGTCAAAATTGGAAATCAAAGAAGAAAGTGCTAATTTTCATTTAGAACAAGCACATGCTAGCAGCAGGAACGACGGAGAAATGTTTTCAAACTCATACCCTCTCATCATGGAAACAACACGAAGAAGTTCATATGATGCC